GAGAGGTATGGGGCATGTGAATGGAGAAACCACTCTAGAATCCCTCACAGCACAAACCTTTGGAGTCCCTCTGGAGCCGAGTCACTCCATTGGTGCAGCATCTGAGCAATTTGGAAGTACTGTATGCTGCCTCTGACCTGGATAGCTCTACATAAAGGGCTAAGATGGGGACGCTGGCTCTCAGTGGCTGGATGGCTGGACCCTCTAAATGCTTTGACCCCTGGCTGCTACTTGACCTTGTCACATATGATGCTATCCATGGGCACGCATCATAATCTGTGTTGTTCACACTTAGCTTGTTTCTTGTCTTCCTTAGTTAGCAAATTCAGTGTTGATGTGTTCATTTCTGAAATTACTTTCTTCTTAAAGAATCTTTGATTGTCTATGTGATGCCAAGCTTCTGAATTAAATTATTAAAATGACTTTTTCCTTTGGAAGACTGAAAAGTGTGTTTAAATTGTGAAATAGATATGGCTTTGAATAATTTTTAAACTCCTGTTGGGAAGATACAAAAGCACCTGATTCATTCCTGTGCCTAATTATTTTCTTTCAGACCGTTGTTTCATCAACTGTAGTGTTTTCCACCTTGTTTTTCACAATACAAAGGAGATATTTGTATCCATTTGAAACAGTTGAATTTTTTTGTCACACCATATACCCGTCATTTGAAATGACACAGAGCAAGCATCCTTACATCTATATATATAAAAGAAAGTCCCCTCACCGTAAAATCAACACCCAGGCCAAACCACTGGACCTAGAGACACCAAATTCGGGGAGAGTGCTCCCACCACAGCATAAATGCTCACTAAGAAGCATGTCAGGTTTAGGAGAGGAGGTGGGATGCTTATAGCCACCGGGGAGCTTTGCTCAGCAGGATTGCCTTAGCACTGCTGCTGGCCCAGCCTCCCCAATGCCTTTAAATACAATCCCCCCCAACACCAGACAGGCTGGTGTCTGTCAGGTGTAGGAGCAGGGCCAGGGTATGAATATAGTAAAGGACCTTTCTAGGAGCCATTTTGATGCATGCCTCCCTCATGAACCTGAAGAAATATCCTTCACATCACCACTCCCTCACACCAACTCCCCCTCACACCTTACTGCCCCCAAGAAAGCTCCTGGCAAACATTGAGCCAGATACACCAACGCTACAAGGAGGAGGCAATTTAGGAATACTGCAAAGACATTTGCACATAGTACTCCTGCAGTGCACTGAGCTGCACAGGCCAAGTACCAGCAAGATCACCCTCAGGTGCTCAGAACAACACAGTCTCCATATGAGCAAAACAATCCAAGAACACAAGTAGAGAGGCCATCACTTTCGTGGAAGGTAGCAGGAGTTGACTTAACAGACGACTGCTTCTTAAATAGACAGTTCTATGTGGCCTGCTCCACCAAGCAGCCTGGTGATCCTAGCACCTGAGGGCAGAACCACCAATGTGGTCTACAGAGAGGTCCTTCAGTAGGTGGTGGTGGGGGAAGTACGTATGTCTCACTTCATTTCTTACACTACAATGTTCTCCATTAGAATTACTACAACAAATGTCACATTTCAAATTTCACATCAGTATAATAACTAGATAATCTGGATAGTCTGGATTTACGGAACTTAAATACCGTAACGAAGCACGGGTATCAGGCTAGTTCACCATAAATATCACTTGCATACCTATCACTTGCAGCCAACACCCAATCTTGAAAAAGAAGAGGGGAAGAGAAAACAAAAAATAATACTTGTGTGACTTGAATCAATATCCATGATGCTGCCTTGTATTAAGTCTGACCATTGATCCATCAAGTCAGTATTGTCTACTCTGATTGGCAATGGCTCTACAGGGGCTCAGGCTGAGGTCTTTCACATCACCTACTACTTCATCCTTTCAACTGGAGACTGAGCCTGGGACACTGCATGCAAAGCAAATACTGTGCCACTGAGTCACAGTCTCTCCCAAGTGTGACCTGAATCAATAATACTGATGTTATTTTATTACACATGCACAAGATATTTTAAACAACTGAAATTTTAAGTCAGAGGAGGGGCAAACAAGATATTTTAACTGAAATTTTAAGTCAGAGGAGGGGCATCAAAAGATTTGTGGGGTTTGCTCCCAGCCTTTCCTTACAGAGTCTTTTTGAGCTGAGCACTGTGTTGGTAGTGCGGAACTGGGGACCATATGTTCTTGCTCGTCTTGAGCTCTGGTGGTTAGTTGCTGAATGAATGGCAGCTGTTCATTTTAAGTTGTATAATTTTTGTTTTCCTGCTTCTTTAAACTGGAGGCAGAGCTAAGAGAAGAGATAAGGCTGTATGTAGGCTGGGGGAAAATGAAGGAAGAGTGGAACTGGCATTGTACTGACTAGAACTTGGGGACCATCAACTGAGCGAAGGAGACAACAGGAATGAGTGAGAAAAATGGCCATGGAGGGAGATGAGGGGGCAAGTAATGGGGGTAGGGGAGAAATATGAGAGGGAATTATGTTTTGTGGTTTTAGAGTGTGAGTTGTCTGGTACCGTGGATCTCAGATTCCACTTCAGCTTTGCACTAGTTTCTGGCCTTGGTCAAATTACTAACTAGTCCAGCACACTTTCCAGCAGTGGCCGGCCAGATACATCTTTACTATAGTCAAAATTAATTACAATTCATATCACCGTATTGGGTCTTGTATGCAAATAGAATGTGCATTAACTTTATCATTTTTTTAAAAACCTCTGTATTTGGGGGTGTCACAGCTGACTCAAAAGGAGTTATATGCTAACTGGTGATGTCTTTTCTCTGGTATTTTTGTACTTCAAGGAACCCTTCATCTTCTCAATGCCAGATCCCTGTAATGTAGTTTACTTTGGAGATTGCTCTGAAAAGATTGTGGGGTCAGTTTGGCCCCATCTCAAATGAATGCAGGGAAGTTCAACACTCCACCCACTAGTTAATGGAGAGTCTTAGTGACCCCAAGCATAGTGAAAATGTACCACACAGCCCACAGTAGGTCCTGTATGTGGAATTGGTCGTACTGTCAAGTAAGTATTTGAGAACACTATAATGACTTTATGTTGATTCACCAGTTAAAATAAGGAGGTATTAACCTTTGCATATTGATACTTTTTAGAGCAGTTAAAATAAGGAGGTATTAATTAACCTTTGCATATTGATACTTTTTAGAAGTCTTACTTCCAAGAAGGCTGGGGGGAAATCAAAATGTTTTTTTAAACAATCACAAATGCCATTTCTATATTTTACTGTACCTGCACAAGAAACAAACCTTAATAAAATTTCAAAATGTTCACATTATATTAATTACCCAATACATCTTTCAGTTGCCACTGATGAGGCTAGCAAAAGAAGGGCAAGAAGCAACCACTCAGCCCTAATCCAGTTCAACTGGGAATCACCTTCACAAGAAACATTTTGTATTTAATTTTTCTGTGTCATTTGTAATAGATCTTGGTTCCTGTTCAGCTACTCGGGAAGCCAGTTTTTGGCTGGAAATAAAAATAGTGAAATAAATCTTTGACAACAAACTGCTTTTCCTAAATACATAAAGGTTACACTAGAATTCTAAAAATCAGTCATAAGGGTTAAGTAAATTCAGTAATGGAAGAACCTCTGTGGGGAGAAGAATTCCACAAGGCCCTGTCTTTGCTGTGCTCACTCAACTTCAGTCAGTGGGGGCTTATAGAGCAAGGCTTCTGACAATGATCTCAACTGGTCAACAGACTCATACGGTGAGACGGTCCTTCAATTACCCTGGTCCAAGAATTGGGCTTTATAGGTAAGGAGGAGAGCAGAGAGAACAAGAAATCCCATTTCCCCAGCTTCCTCCCCTTTTGCTTGTCCCCCAACTTTCCCATAATTTCTTTTATCCTCACCATCCTGTTTCTCCCTTCTGTTGCTGTTCCCTTCCACACATCCCAAGTCTCCATTTCCAGTGCTGGAAAGGACTT